TCGGCCCATTTATCGAAACCTTTCTTAATAAGGATTTTCACGAAAATTGGTCCTTTGTAGAGCAGAAAAGTCTAAATTTTAATATATGTTGTGGTAGACAATGCGGTGCAAGTAATTTAATGGTCGACTTTGTCCGGCTATAATGTTCTTACTTGTTTAGCTTTCATTAAGCGAAATTATAAAGCAAAAAATGCAATTTTTCCGTTTTGTTCGAAGGACATTGTCACTGATTTATAACGCGGGCAGAAAATTGTATGCGGTACGGGGAAAATCCAAAAAGTAGACTAGGCGAGCCATTAAGATCGTCGATGATAAAGTCGGAGATGGAGCGAGGATTAAGGAATTCAGTTGTGCGAAGTATGCTATTAACTGCTAAATGTGCAAAATATATAATACAACCATAAAAACTTCCAGATACACAATCTGTATGATCCCTGATCTGTACAAAAGTTGAAAAATCAGCCACAACCCGTCAATATTACTGGGCATGGGAAAGCAGTTTTTGTTTTTTGTAGGGTTTCTTTTAACGTAGAGATGACGGATATAAAAGATAGATTCGATCGGCCAGAGTCGAATATAATTTTCTTAATTTTTATTAAAAAACTTTTATTCATCATCTGCGTCATATCGCATATGAAATGGAGAATATGATAGCACTTATGTGTTTGAATGCCATTTTAATAGGTTAGACTAAGGAGCCCGAATTGAAAGCATGCTGTGTGTGGGATAGCAGACCTATTAACCACTGACAAAAATTTCAATAAATAATCCTTTTCGGTGCTATAACGATCGATCGAATATTGTTATCTCATTTTTTTAAAGGAGATTTTTGTCCAAATTTTTATTTGAATGCTATTTTGGTCTGCTGGTCCAACGAGCCCGAATGGAAAGCATGCAGTGACTAGCAGCAGACCTATTAAGCGTTGACAGAAATTTTAGTAAATGATTCGCTTCGGCGCTGTACCCAATCGATTGACCATTGTCCAATGATATGCAGAAATTAAAAGCGGACTGCGTACGACCAACAATGTTTCAGCAATCGGCCCGTTGTTTGTTGAGCGAACCTCCATTCCATTGCATAAAATTGCTGACTTTGTTATCGTAAAATTAATTGATTTCTTACACTTTGTTTATCTATTTATCAACATGGGTTTCAGTCGTCACATATTTTTCCTTCTGTCGCACTATCTATTGACTTTATTTTGCTTTACTTGAGACTATAAAGAAAAAGATGAAATTTTATTAACAAAAATTTGTTTGTTCTCTATTATGTTAACAGAGATTGGAAGAAATGAAAACGATTTTCACTTACATTTTTTTTTTTTTTGGTATGTTGAATGGAGATGGACTAACACTTACATTGAATAGAAATTTCTTCCATCACAAGGCATTTCTCATATAATAATTTAAATTTATTGCTAACGAAATAAAAAGTTTTATGAAAGAAAAAAACCTATTATTGAATGATTGTAAATTTGATTTCCTCTCTATAAGTGATTTTTTGTAAAACCATTTCAAATATTTGCTTCATTTATACCTTTTAGTCAATGTAATAAAAATTCTATAAAAAGAAAAAAAAAAAAAAATGCAGTCTTTTACTATAACAAATTGCAGAACACAAAAGGTTACTACTTAGCAACAATTAAAAACTCTTATTGATGTTAAATGGGCAACAAAGCACATTTTTTCCACCTCTTTTTTTTTTTTTTGTATCCATCAGCAAATATTGTGGACATGTTATATTTACCTTTCCGCTTGTAATGATGAAAAGTACGCATCAAACGAAATGCTGTCCATTTAGTTGGTATCAAGCTTTTGCTAGGACGTTAACCAAGAGCAATGTTAGAGTTATCCGGCAAAAGTTACATTTGAACTACCTTGGACACAAAGTGCTAGTAATCGTGGGTATTAATCTGAAACTATCCGCCTAAGTGATCGAAGGCAAAGAATCTCGTCTAGCAGTTCAATAGTCGTAGGTTCGAATCACAAGAACGGTAGAGTATTTTAATAAAGCCAGTAGCTTTAGATGCTAGTCCTTGCTTTAGTCCTTGGTGTGGACATCTGTAACTTACAGCGTAAGGGACATGTGGATGCAGCATCTGTTTTCTCTGGCCCTGTATTGGCTTTTGACTAATCGTGACGAGCCTTGCTGGCGAAGGAGAGGAGGTATAAAGATTTTACCCTAAGGCGATTGCAGTTTTCTTATTCAATTTTTGCATTTAATGTTTGAAGAGGGTAAAGGTATACCATAGCTATTATTTTATTCGTGAAATTCAACATTGGATAGGCCTCGATGTCTCGTTAGTTACAATGATGTGTAATAATTGCTCTTCCTTTTCATAACAAGTATCATATAATTATTACCCAGACTTAACAACTTCCTGCGTGATGGCTTTAGTTATTGCATGAGTCGGTGAGCATCCGATATTCGTTTAGAAGCTACTAAGAATTGCTTACCTTTAATTTTTTTTTTTTATTTTTTTAAACGAAATTGTTGCAAAACCATGCAAAATTGATATACATGCATGCACATATTTGCACACATTGGTATGTGCGAATACGAGAAGGTACACAACAACAATTTTCCAACCAGCTGATGAATAATGAAAAGTATAACAATGGAGGCTTTTGTACAATATATCAGGCAATAGTATGGATGATAAAGCCAGAAAAAATTATATTTAGCTTACGTCGATTCGTTAGATAACGACCATCCATTGTATATAAAAGTAGTTTTAAAATTGTTGTTATTGTTTACGATCCCGTCGGATTTGATTACTTGCAGCATTCGGGGAATATTTGAGAGAGAGCAAGTATTGGATATGATAGGATATTTGAATCCATCTTTTTGGCATATTGTTAAACTTGCCTCTACGCTTTTAGGCGCTACCGTCCCTGCATGATTTTAAATAGAACTCAAATTGATTATTGATTTTTTTCTATTTATTATCATGAATTCACAAAGTTTTGCTATAATTAAGAGCAATTGCAAGAAATATTTATTTACTTCGTAAAGCTTAAAAATTTCATTTATTGAAAAATATCTACTTTTGTTGTCTACAGATAGATTTAATCAATAAAATTAATGTCAACATCAAACAATGAAGCAATGAATGGTTAGATGGGATAGATCGATTAAGAGGCCTTCACCAATAAATATTCAAAGTATGAAGAATAAATTTAGAAAATAAAGTTTCAAAGATATACGAAAATATCGTTACCTTTTCAGGCCAATAGAGGCTTCAATAATTCCTGGATGAAATAAAGAAAAACTTCTTCTTCTTCTTCTTCTTCGCAAAATTCGCATTTATTCATCGAAAGCGACGCAATTAATGAAACACTTCTCTAAAATGCTTCTGCTCGCAAAGGTCCAGATCTGGAGCCATGGACCATGATAAATGCAGCAGCAATTCCACATGCTTATCCATACAATTGTTGCTAATGCAGCCACCATTTTGAAGCCTGCCTTTGGCTTTGCTTTACTGTGAGTAAAAAGGGCGCCAACTTCACTTTACCACCATGGCAGGAACCCACGTTAAACCCGTGCTACAATCTGTCACCACCTCCCTCGGGCGTCGACTGCGTTCAATACTATCGATATATGGAGGATCTCGTTAAAAATCGGCGAACCACCAATAAGTTATTGTTTTTTAGAAAAAGAGCTGAAATAAAAGTTTTCAAGCCTACGTTCAACTGGAACGTAGAGGGAACATCTCAGCAATACAGAGAACTTTGGACTTTAAGAGCATAATTAAAACGGCTTTAATGCATTAACAAATGACGTCGGAGGTTACCAGGTGCTGCAAAAAAATATGATTTTCCTTTTTCTTTTCTTGAAGCCGACGTCCATGCATTGGCCCCGGGAATTATTGATCGATTCTATCACTGAAATCTGTATTAAGAAGTAAGAGCTTTGAACAAAGTTGTAAAGTTAATTGTCAGATTCCTTCACTGTTCTAGTATACAGGCAATCAAATCCTATTCACCGATGAGGTTCTGCAACACAATTACAAGGTTATTTATTATGCGGCGAGTAGGGATCGCATAAACGCACAAAAACAGGTTTGAGTGTCGTGGAATTTCAAACTATACTATCGAGTGTAAGAGTAATGGCTGCCTTTTGCTAAGAAAAAGTGCTACGAGTGCTGTAGAGTGCTAAATAAAACTTTGAGCTCTTCATTCAAAAGTATTGTAATATCTTTTGAAATATCGATAAGCAACTGTGTAATTTATCGCGATTACATACATAAAACCATTTCTTGGAACTTTAAAGAGGTATAGCTCTGTGCCAAAAAAAAAATAGAAGAAAAGAAAAAAAAACCCAATCACGGTAAACTTTACTTTGCTTCCTCACTTCGAAGACTAGTTCTGCTAGATCTTCACGAGTGATGAACAGCGGATGTGTTGCGATATCTAAAGCTTAAGCAACTATGATGGAGAATATTTGCAAAGTGCCCAAGACATGATACCGGGAAGAACTTCGGCCCCATATGGGAAACAACACTCACTCCTGAAATGCTGGCAGTTTTAACTTCTTGAACGATTCTTCCACTCCATGCAACCAATCCTTGAGAAGTGATTCTGTATTTCATGAAAAACTTTTGTTGTGTATAAAAATTTTTCCCGAGCCACATAATCTGTTTACTGCAACAACATTTTTATGTATGTAAAGAATTGCACATGAAATGATAAACTCAAGGTACAATAATTTTTGCATGCATATGTAGCTCTGTGGATGTTAGTGGCTTTTTACTACAAATTTACATTGGGCTTCGATTCGTTTTATTAAAAAAAGAGCAAATAAAAAGTAAATAAACTTCTTTCCTCTAATTTATTAAATATGTTTTTTTTTTATTTTTTTATTTTTTGCTACTCTAAAAATAGGTCAATTACCGATAAATGCCAGAAACATATTTAATAATAAAAAATATTTAATAACAAAAAATATTTATGAGCTTTTCTGATTTATTTCTCTCTGTCTGCATTTCTTTTATTTATAGACATTTACACCCAAAGCAACCACATCATAAAATACAAAAGTAAGCCAAACTTTAAGGTAAGTTTTAAAAAAAAAAAAATTTGTTTTTTTTTTGTTCGTAAATGAATTTTTTAAGGATTCTTAACATGTGTTTGAAATGTTTATGCAAAAATTAGCCACATGTTCTACTCAAAGAAGATTCTCTCGGCATAAAAAGTTAGGTAAGCAACACAATGTGTTGTTCATTCTCATATTACCGTCCGGTTGATGAATTTTTATACCAATCAGCGACGGATGAGGAGTGCGTTCAGTTTGTCAAAAGGTTTGTAACTTCCCGAAGAAGGCATATCTTATTGATCAGCATCAAATTCTGAATTCATTTAAGTCCGTCTGTCCGTCTGTCCGTCTGTGTATTGTTTGTTGTAACCAGCCTCCTATCTGCTACCGAGTTCAGATTTGGCAGAGACATTTGAAGATTTTGCAAACAGGTTGATATTGAAAATGGGCCACATCCGACGAAAGACGCGCCCACAGTATCACGTAAACTGAGAGCATCTCTGTTTTACAAAAGTAATCAAATATTTGATTTTTTGCTCATTGCTCATAAACTGTAGAAGATAAATATAGAAAAAAATTTAACGTATATTCTATGGGCGATTGCGCAGTGCTGGTACAAAAATGGAAAAAAGTTGACCGCGCCTACCCAATATTATAGTGTATCAAAATTTAATATTTTTTCAATACTCCTATAAGGCGCAGTGGCAAGCTTCAAAAACTCCGTAAAGTACCTAAATTCTTGAGCAATTTCAAATTTGAATGAACATGTCCGTCTGTCCGTCAGTCTAACTGTGTAGCGCCTGGGGTAAAAATTCTTCCATTCGTAACATTGAAGATATCGCTTGCAAATTTGCAAAGAATTTCAAAGGACACGTCTACAACGCCCACGCGGCTATACAAAAATTCTTTTATTTTGAAAATTAAAAAAAAAAACAGCCTCGCCCACTGCTACCATTATAGAGCATGAAAATTTAGTTCTTTCACTTTTTTTTGCCTTTTTAGAGTAACAATGATGGGGTTATGCGGCCATGACCGAATATAATTTTCTTTTTTGCTATAGTTAGCAGAGGACGTATGTTCATGCTTGTTACATGCTTGCGACATATAAAGTCCTTATGAAATTTCTATCCAGTCCTATGATTTCGTATTGGGAAATTAAGAAGCACCACTCCTTGTGAACATTATACATAGATTGTGTTTTGTGTGTGTGCGTGTGCGTGTGCAAGTATTTATAAATGTTAGTTCTACGATTATGTAGGATGTTATGCTTACAGTGTTGCCATAATATCTTTGATCATTAAAAACCGCAATATACAATGATGATGATTTTCTTTAGTTGAGAATGCAGTTACCACAAATAGTTAGTTGGCAATAAAAGACTCAGGCCAAGCTGAATACAACTATATGGATTTTTTCGTTGATAAGACGTAAAATCAACAATTTCTTCTACATCCGTATCTGATTCTCATTTGATTTTTTTTTTTTTTTTTTTTTTTTTTTTTGTATTTTTAAATGAATGCAGCATTGCTTAGAACTTGTCCGTAATTGCACATAAAATTGCATGTTTTTAACATAAAATTGAATTTATTTATATTTCTCACATAAACATTTCAAATTTAATTTAAACGCATTGTCAAAACTTCTGATAGAAAGTTTTAAAACCATACGAAAAACAAATCAAAAGTTGAATCAATAGAAATTAGAAAAATCCAAACTGATTTCACAATAGTGCAAAATTCATTGTCAAGCTGACCTAGATACGAAAGCACCTCTACCCGAAAAAAACAATATGCTGGATGGCTCGTGCTAATCGGAAACAAGGAATTACTTGGCCCAAATATAGTGTGGATAGGTCACAATTTCTTATTCAGGGGACTACTAATCGGCCATCTCGGCTCCGTCTATATACAAGATTTACGCTTACTTGCTATCCTAGGTTTAGTCTCTCGTCTCTCATGTCGACCAAAATTCTTTATCCCTTCACTCCTTTGTGATCATCACCATGTTACATGATACTGAGGACTGAGTTCAAAGAGATTGCACATCCGTAACAATTGTCTTTAATGAAAAATTCGCTATGCCCTTGCATTTAGCTGCATAACATGTCTCTCCCTGATGACAAGGCTGATGCGAATTTTAATCTTAATTTGATCGCTTTGCTGGATTTTATTATGACCACTGCTAAATGATGGCGGTACACCAGATGTACTCTTGTATGTCGCTTTAAGCTTGTTTGTCTGTCTATCCGTCCTACTCATTCTTAGAACTGTCGCGTTGTGAGATAGAAAGCGTGTTCATCCGTACTTGATGGTCACATCAGCGAGACATTTAAACGAAACCTTGTGCGAATATTTTCTAGGCTCAGCTAGGATCATAATTGGCCAGTTAACGATTTTATATCTGAAGAAATATTTTGCAATTGCAGAGTATCGGCTTCAGTATATGGATAACACAGATTCCCCTCAAGAGTGTTAAGAATTTTACCCTCTTTACCATTTCTTTATGTTTTCCTTGTTTGCAAAACTTTTTTTTTTTTGGTAAATGATTATATGAACAGTTACAGAGGTCGACCTAAAGTCATTACTAATTCTTGTTTTATTTTCTTCTTTTTTTTTTTGCCAATTTGCGGTGAATTAATTGTAAATTAGTTTAATTTATTTTTATTCTCCGCTTGTACATAATATATTTTAATTAGGTTTTTGTTGAACAAAAAAAGAAGGAAAAAAAAAAAAGAATATTTTATAGAAATTATTTATCCGCAACGAGGCATTGGTGTAACAATGAAAATTAAATATTTTTACAGTCTTTGATTTTTCATCTTTTTTTTTTAAATATTTTGCGTTGTGCGTAAAACATACAAATGGAATTTTTACGTTAATTAAATTACTCCATATTAAATGAGCATTATATTACACATGAAATGCGTTAAGAAAAAGCAAAAAAAAAAAAAATTCTTCTCATAATGATGATGCAAAGTAATTAAATAAATTTACAATTTAATAGTTACCTGAGGTCGAAGGCATTCATTTTTGTAAAGCTACGAGTTTCTATTAACCATTAATTTGTTGTCCCTTAACAAAAATACTTTACTGACTCTTCATATTACCGAGAGTTATACTAAGAGGAGGTAACATCCCACAAGGTTTGCGAGACAACAATAACTTGAAGAGTGAAGAGCTCTGCAGATGAGCAAGGCCTACCATTAAAATACCTTACACCTAGTACCATTACCTACTACAATTTCTATTTTCGTGATAGAATAGCAAAACTGATATCTCGTTTCCATATAAAACTATGTTTTTCACATCAGTCCTTACGGAATCCTTATATGGAAAAGAAGCCCAAAACCTAAATTGATGTGGTAGAAATTTAATTTTCTTGTCAACAAATCATTCTTATCATCCTTCATCCATTTCCATCCTAAAGTACAAAAAATTAGACTTTGTTACTATAAGAAAGAGCCCAGCCTTCACAAGGGCTGGGGCATATGAAATGAACTTTTTCAGACTTAGGGGAGTCAAACGTAGCAAAGTCAATTTTAAGTTCAATTTGCTATCATCGATCAAGCATCGACCCTCAGCACTCGCTGTAACCAAGAAATGTGTTTATTGTTGTTGGTAAAGTAAGACCTTTTCCTACTGGCGAATGAAAGAACTTTTGATTGTAAGATTGCTATCGAGTATTACATGCAAATTGCGATATCGACAGCTATAAACAGGTCATAATTTACATCGTAGAATATTGCAAATTAGACTTTTTGCCATATAAAGGCTTTTGTTAGGAATCGTTATGTAAGATGGTGTTCAAAAGATTGACTTATATTATTTAAATTTTGCACATTTAGCTTATCTCATATATATCAAAATATTATTTTCTGCCGATTTTCGTTGAAAACTAATAAAAATTGCTCAAGACTTTTTTGAAACAAAAATTTGGGAAGTGGTCGAAGGAATAGTCCAATCTAATCCATTTTCAATAGAGTTCGCCGGGCGCCAAAACACAGTGAGGTCACAAATCTTATCAAAATTCGGAGGCAGTGTGTTAGACATAAGCAAGCAGGGACTGGCAAGCTTGGATGATTGTGATTCAATTGGTGTAATAAAAAGCGAGGCTATTTTAAGCATTCTTGGATGTTAGGTGCATCCTCGCAGACTTAATATACCACAAGCAGCTGTTAAAAGGATCCCAGCAAAGAGTTCTTTGACTACAGGAATAATTATTTAACTGATGTTCTGATTCTTATGAAATGAACTCTGTTCCTTTACCTAAGTCTTCAAAAAGACGCTAAGTGAGATCTTAGAATGTCCCAAAGGAAATTTCGGAAAAATTGCAAATTTTCGAATAAAATGCAAATCAGTTATGTTTTACCCTAAGGTATATAGTGTGAAGGAATTCACCTTGAGCGACATGGAAAAATGTAAATTTGAAATTTAACCAAGCCAGCCCACTGCTTGAAAAGCTTGGATTGATAACTGATTCTTTTTCGAGAACGCTATGTTCTATAAGATAAGCTGGTAAGCAACGGCTCTCAAATGTGGCAACTGTTAATATAGTAGCTTGTAGCCAATTATATGTATAAGTGATGTAATAATTTTCCATAGCAATGATATTCAAAATTTCTATGCGTAGTCGCAACTCGGGTACTTTGTTAATGTAATCTGTCGTAACGAACGGTGGCACGCAAACTTTCGCAAGATAATTTGTAATTTTTGTTAAATTTTATCATGAAAAGAGATAACATTTTCTGTTTTTTCTGCATAATTAGCATCACAATGCAGTTCGTTGCAGCGCCAACGATAACATTTTCATTGCTAATGTATATACCAAGTATGTATAAAAGTATGTTTTCCTTAAATTATATAGTTTATTATGTATTTCTAAGAAGTTGTATTAAAATGATGGAAGACCTTGAGATTTTAAACAGTTAACAAATTAATTTTATATAATTATTAGTAACTTATTAGAATGAAAAATCATTTATGTTGTTAAACCCTATATTTAAATATGATTTTTGTTACATTAGAACAGAGCGTATTTTTCGAATGATGAATGCTTTCAAATAGATATTAATTAAAATAATTATATAAAATTGCTTATGAAACCAGTAAATGCTGCGGAAATTAATAATCATAACATAACATAACATAACATAACATTTAAAAGCAAGCAGTCATTATTATCATATATACAAATAAAACGCATATATTCCGTACAGAATGCCAGTGATAGACATTATTGAGTATTGCCGCACCTTCTTCTTCACACAAACTGTTATCTACTTGTGAACTGGGGCAACTTTCGTTTTTGCGCTTCCAACTTGGAAAGGATTTTCAAATCTTCTCTTTTCTTATCCCCATCACTGTAAGATGATGGTATACTTATCTTGTTTTTTTTTTCATAATGTATGTAACACCCAAAAGGAAGCTTCAGAGACTCCATAGAGTATATATATATATTCTTGATCAGCTTGAAATTCGGAATTAATTTTACCATATCTGTCCGTCTGAGTGTCTGCGTCGGGTGAGTTGTTGGCACTCTCCTGATCGCAAAACGAAAGACATCAACTTCAAATACGATATAAACTTTAGAAGTTTTTGCACGCAGGTTGGTATTGAAAAGGGAACAAATTGGTCAGAGCAGAAGCCCGCCGTGGAGTATAAACTGGCCGCAAACTCCGTTTTTGTTGATCAATATTTGTGGATTGTTGCCCGTTACTCGGAAATTACTAAAGTTAAAAGGCTGGAATTTTCGAAATTTACTTTCCGAAACGCTCTCCACTTCATATACAAAAAGGCGAAAAAATCGGCCATAACCCCCATAAAGTTACAAGTGATTAAATTTTCTTTTATTCTTTTTTTTGAGATTTTATGCTTACTTATCATAAGGCAAACAAGACGAAATCTTTAAAACTATGCTGTACATCCCTCAAATGAAGATTTCTTATCTGCCTAAAAATTGGTTAACTCTAACATGATGGACACCGCGATCTGGTGGATTAAATTTTTCTTAATAATACCAGCGATATGGGTATCATATCAAAGAACTTGGAGAATAGAATTCGAAAAGCATAGTGGTGGGTATACGAGATTCGTCCTCCGCCGAATATAATCTTCTTACTTTCGCTTATTTTGTGAATAAATTTACAAAGTATGGCTTTCAAGGCTGCCGGATAGCTTCAATCGTAGCCTCTCGTATATTGAAAACTCTATCGCACTTGAGATTTGAACCCGCAATCATCCCGTTGTTAGTCGCGATCCAATTTTTACCAAATTTGAGCTTAATGGTATCAGTCTTCGCAATTTGCCGCCGTATATTTTTCATTGAGTGTGTCTGTCCCTCGGAGTACAAGAAATAGACGAATAGTCGATTTAAATAATTTTTTTTCCTCCTGGCATCACTGATGCGTACATCTGCTTCCATATCCTACTTGTCTTGCTTTTTGATAAAACAAATTAGCGGTAAACGAAAGCATGCATTTGAAAACTTCCTTCAACCTCAAAACATATATGACTACAAGCAAAATATACTCACTTTGTCACTTGATCCGACAGATTTTATTAAAATTTATGCAATTTACATAATATGCACTCAAAATCCTTCAGTTGGTTAAGCGAGTATTTTCAAATAAATTGCTAGTAATAAATATGAACGTTTCCTGCGGACGAAAAAGAGAGAGGGATTGATTGAGGAAGAGGGTTAAAATGTATGTCATTTACATACTTGCTGCTCTCAATCTGTGTCATTTGCATGCCAAGCTAGGTATACATTTAAATAAACTAAAATAATGTTTATTTTGTTTACTCAACAATATGCTGTCAGTATGTATGCATTCATATACGGGTCTCTGTTAATCATCATTTGTTAGCTTAACTTTGCAATTTTCTAATATTCTCTGCACCAGATTTGAACCAACAATTACCTATTTCGCCCATTGTTCTCGCTCTTCTCCTTCTATATTATTCCTCCAGTTATTCTATTACAATGTTTTTACAATCATTTTTCTAACACTTGTCAGATGTCAGGGTGATGTTTATTATTTTGTTCATTTACGTTAGGTTTTAATGTATGTTTTATTATAGTTTCTGTGAAAGGGGGAAAGGAGAAGGGGAAGCTTTTCTAGAGCACATATTGCTTGCAATTCATGGTTAGCATTATGATATTTGTTTAGGGGACTTTTCAAATGTGTTTAATTTTGTTTTATTGAGATTTATATGTCAAAATTCCATCTCATTTAAACACTTCTGCATGTATGTATGTATGTATGTATGCATGTGTGTATGTTCATGGCATGCTTATCCGGTTTACATTGCGATTAGCAGCATTTTGGGGTCGCTGAAAATCGATAGGCGTCGGGTAATTTTGCAAACAATACAATTAACATATAATTTAATCCTCTCGACTTTAATAACCCTTCGAGTTTCTCGAATGTCTCACAATTCCCTATTATCAGCATATATTAACTTTAAGGACGCCATCAATTCAGTTCGTAATCATATACATGAATATATTTAAAAAGATGGCGACATTTTCTCGTCCAAGTCTAATGTCCTATAGGCTACGTGAAGTATTAACCGCTAAGTTTTCAAATGCAAAGAAACCGTCAAATTTCACTTAGCTTTATTTCCAAGAGTATGGTTGTGAAGAAATAGGAACTTTCTGTAAATAATTTATTCGACTTTCCTGAAACGAACAAAGCTTTACTACCGCATTTTATTTTTGATTTGCTTTTATAGCTTTTTTTAGAAATTATTGTAGATCATAGGGAAATAAATCCCTTAGACATATGATTCGTTTTATAAGTAATTATATCGTGTAGTAAGTTCTTCTTTTGCAGTATTTTAAAGCACGGAGTTCCGTCTTTAATTTCCTTTTACGGAAGTTTACTTTACTACCATTTGACGTAGTTTAGAAATTACAATCGATATGCTGATGGCAGTCGATGAAAGAAGTATCCGTGGTTCAGAGGACAGTTTCATAAAAGAGAAGTATGTCTGCAATGTCTGTACTCGATTGCACTCTTATTCACAACAAGTCTCACAAACTGAATGCATTGGATTTAAATGTTGCTTCACTATCTCTATTGCAATTAACTACAACTTTTTTACGCTTATTAGCCTCTTTGCAGGTGAAATAGCATTGAATAACAGTTTATCGGCTATCAGTATATCGATCGATGCTTTAAATATAACGCTTGGTTCTTATGAGCTCAACATATACATTTTACACAACATTTAAAAAAAAGGCATTACTGCTAGGCTTGTCGGAGCAGTATGACAAAATCGTTTCCAAGTCTTTATCAAAATATATCTAACGTAAGCTATAAGATATCGAACGAAATCCCTTTTCAGATATTTATACAAAAGGATAATGCTATCATGTAAATGTTTGCCTCCTTTTTATGCCCATCATCGAGGGCCGGAGTCATATAAATTTTGGCTCAGCGAACAAGCTTCATAGGAAATGTCTATAAGTTATATGTATGCCTGGTGAGCATCAAATGCTGATTCAATTTAAGCCTGCTAGTATGTCCTTCCGTCTTTCGGTCTCTTAAAATCTTTTACATTACTCCTGAAGATTTAAGGTATTGTGTGCAGGCCAATGAAAACACATCGAGTAAGTTTTAATTATTTTACAAAATTTAAAAAAGCCAAGAAATCACTCAAAAAATGGAACACCAAGTACTGACACTTTATTGTATATCGTTCAGATTGTTAATTTTATTTACACGTACGCAAAATTTACGTATATATGGTATACGTAAACATGCATTTACTTACTTTGAAATTCCTGAGTAAAGCATTAAATAAACAAAACCATTGTTTTCGTACGCATTGTTCACGTTAAACCCGGTGGTTATGGTTTATTGCACATCTCAGAGAACACTGGAGGATGTGTTTGGTGTATACGTATATATATATGTTGCGCGTATAAATATTCATCTGTAAACAATACGTATCTGAGAGACGAACACTTTTAGTTGACATAAAAGCGTACAAATTGAATTTTCGGTAAAGTGCATTCAATCACTCATTCTTGATAAAAAAGAGGACATTGTTGAACCATTATGCATATGCATGCGTGGCTTAAACCGAATTTTTGATGCACAATATCGTAAATATTTGACAAATATAAGAACTTAGTCTGGCTTCAGGAAATCCGATTTCCTTCAGAGTCAGAATGTCTACAATAATATAGATGGTTTAAAAAAAAATATCATAATCATAGACGAACACTTAACACAGTTACAAAAAAAAAGAAAAAAAAAAACTGCAAATTTAACCAACAAAAAACGCCCGCTCTGTGACAAAGTTAGTCATAAATCCCCTACGGTGAATTTAAAATGATATCTTGCAATTGTGTGTCACATATGTATATAAATTTGTATACATAAATGTATACATTTACATGTGTGCACAATATATATATATATACATTTACAAAGAGTTCTGTTTTTGCACAGGTGTTGTTGCTACAAATACTATTTCTTTCTTTTTTTTTTTTCTTTGTAAATTTTTGCCATTTAGGTAAACATTGCGTATGAGTGTTTATTTCATTCATATACGATAAGCTGTTAATGCATTTTTTCCTGTTTCTCACAGAAAGCGGCTAAATTAGAGTAATGCATATTATATAAAATAAACCACTAAGAAGAGTGCACATCGCACAGCCACACACACACGTGTTTGCGCGCACACAACTACGGTAAGTTTTTATTCACTCGCAAACTGTTGAAATTGTTTAAATATTTAATTGAGTTCAACAGTGCGTATGAGTGTGGCTTCGGTTTCTGAGAAAATATATAATAAAATTATAGTTTCGTTTAAGGCGAATCTTAGACACCAGCCATTAAGACTTATTGGTTGATAAACACTTTATAAAAGTTTTTATTCATATGAAGATTTTATTCTCGTATAAAACTTTATGACAAATTTCAAATCAGATAATTTAGAAAAAGTTCGAAAAAAAAGTTATTCCTTTCGTGCTCCAAGATTGCTTTACCTTTAAGAACTTTACAGCGAAGAATGTCGAAAAATATTACCTTTCAAAAGCCAGGTTCAGAATGGGTTCCTTAATAAATATCGCCTGACATTCAGAAGGATTTTTTTAGTTTCTGAAATACTACAGGATTATGATATATCTTATGATAAATTGCATTTATAGTTCTGTCATTAGCGAGGTTTATTATCGCCTTTTAGCGCCTCTCTTATCGAATTCGGAAGAGGAATTCGAACCATGAAATAAAAATATAGAGAACCAGCATTTCGAACTTGGCTTCATTGTCGTAAAACATATAATATTTTGATTTTAAAAAAAGTTGTGCTCTTTTTAATAAAAACATTAAAAATGGAGCTGAACAAATATTTATTTCATTCTTTATACATTTATTTACTTATTTATATATTTACTTTTTTTTTTTTGGCGGTTTTTTCTTTTATTTAAATATTACTTAAATAAGGCAAGAGCTGATCAATCTTGTTATAACTTTTTTTAAAGGTGCTCTTGTCTCTGCTCTTTCTTTTACAACGTAACCAGCCTTGGTTTACTAATGATATCTTTCCAAACACTTGCTATGCTTAACAAATTCTGGGTAAGTTGTGTAGCACTGCTCTATACAAAGCTGAAATGATGTCAAAATTTTTACTTTAACGCGCCCCTATATAGAATTGAAGCAATCGTGGGAGATCTACGTAGAACGCAACAAAAGCAACACTTTGTTATAACTTAGATCGGACGTATGTAACCCACCTTTCATTACACCAATTACAGAAAATGACAAACTCGTCTATTTGTCTGTCTGTCTGTCTGTCTGTCTGTCTGTCTGTCCATCTATCGTCTATCCGTGTAAATTTGTGTTCAAGCTACAGAACGCAATTTTTGAGATACTTTGATGAAATTTGGTATATTGAGGTATGTTAATCTAAGGACGAACTCTGTTGAAAATGGTTCGGATCGGTTTACTTTTTCGACCGCTCCCCATATAAAGCCCTATATAGAAAAATATTGTAATTTCCAAAATTTCTTGGCAAAAGTGGCTAAGTAGTAGTATTTCGGTATTCTAGATTGGTATGAAAACTTTGAACCGACTGAGGCAATTTTTGAGAGCCCCTTTCCTTTGACAAAATGCCACAATTTTCAATTCTTCAGGGTGAAAATTATATCGTAATAGTAATTTAACTTAAGAAAATTAATTGTATCAAATTTGGACCATCTCGGTCTATTTTTTGGAACCTAGCCTAATAAGGACTTTCACGAAAATTGACCCTTTATAGAGCAGAAAAGACTAAGTTATAATAGGTTGTGATGAAAATTGACCCATAAGAGTCATTGCATACATAAGTAACAACTGTGTTAGACAAAATGGTCGGCCCTGACCAACTATGATGCTTTTACTTGTTTTGATTACGGATTGCTTAAAATGCACTGGGTTTAGAGAATGACTGTTAGAATAAGTCCGAAAATTTCTATGCTCTTCAGCACTTAACAAAATTTCCGTCAATGCAACAAACGACGTGATAGATTTATGATGACATCCTTTTCATGCGCCATATCTGCAAATGGGGTACTTAGTTAAAAGGATCGTTTTCCGTGCAAAAAAAAAAAAATTAACAACTAAATGCATTTCTGGGCTGAAACTTTTCGAAATCTCAAATGAATTAACTTTGGTTAGATTGGTCTGGAAAATGTTCTTAATTGTATGCTAATGCATTCTTTTCTCCATAAGCGCGGCATGTGCTAGTTTCGAGTGGAATTAGTTGCGATCAACAAACTTACACGCCAACGATTAATGAAAACTTTTATAACTTTTATACTTATATCAGACTTGATGACTTTTTGTTTTCGTTCTAACTTGAAAAGCTTTTCCAGATCTTCAAACGCTTATCGTTGCTAGGCACTTTCTCTGTCAAGAACACTAAAGTATTTTATATCTTTTCGTCAATATATTTTTTTTTTTTTTTGAAGCTGAAGGTTTCTTTGTTTTTTTGATTGGTTTTGGATTTTTTTTTTTTTTTTGTGGTCAAGGTTACTCAAGTGGTTAAATTAAATGATTAACTTTTTCGTTTCATTATCAGCATTCTTGTTATTTTCGCGTTGTTTTGTTTTGAAGTATGTTTTTGTTACCTTTAAAACAAGAAAGAAACAACACAAATGCGTCATTAAGACCTTGACACATACATTAAACGCGATATTGTAGTACGTAGTCGGCTCTTTAAACGCAAAGTCTGTTTATCAAAAATTTAAGTATGTACTTGATAACTAAGCCACAAGGTGCTTACAATTTATGAAAAATGCGCATTTTTGAGGTATTTCAGTATTCGACTTACTGTCCTCAACCTACTGACTGACTGCAAGTAACAACCTTAAGCTTCTCTCCGCATAACTTATTTGATGCATAACTAGACCTGGCATTCATATGTAATTGTTCACGTTGTAAGCTAATCAATAAGACTTGTTTATAAGTCTCAAGATGTCTCGTTGTCCACAGAAAAATTGCGTTTGAAAGCAAACTGTTGTTGTTCTCCTTTCAAAATACTAATATGCCTTAATATTTGCTGATATAAGCTTTACGATTAGGCATCAAAATTTTCGAATAAACTGAGTTTCTTAAGATTACTATCCGGGCGCATAAAGTAATCCAACGCAAAGGTTATAATGCTGCAATAGAATTAATTAAAAGATTGCGTTCATTAAGAACAATAGCGAATAGTGCATGAAGGAAAGGTGTAGCGGTCTTTATATTTATAATATATATGTATATATATTACCTGCCGTCTCCATTTTGCCAGAGACTGTAGAAACTCACCAGTTGAAAAGGAAAGAAGTCTATCTAAAGGAATCCATACCAATGTTACTGAAATGGCTTCTATGACAAACGCTCAAAAACTTTGTTGAACCTTCAAAATAATGCAGTGGCAATGAGGAATATCAAGAAAAATAATCAATGTATGTAACATGGCCGCAAGTTCATTTTGGTGGACTGAGCGCACACTTTTTGTTGACCTGTCTTTCTTCTAGATTCAATCTAGCCTTTGTATGGCTTCGAGTACACTGTTCTTGGATACATTGTTCGGGCCGCTATTATGATAGCTTCAATCTTTGACGCTATCTAAACGCTCTACTTCCGACGGTTTAACAGATGTAGACAAATAGGGCTGAAGATACAATGCTTATATATATATATGTGCTTCTATATTTATATATGATTCTGTAAAAGATTAGAAGGAGATTTCAAATCTACTAACTTTATAGGAAAGTAAAAAATATCGAAACAACTGATGGAGATTAAATCTCCACACGGGTCCATCTACAAACAATGCGACTGACTTACATTGAAGACATAAAGCCGCCCATTAGTCCTCCAACGTCCATGCACAAATGAAAGGAGTAATAGAGTGTCTAGTATTAAAATGAAGGCTTTTTAGTTCTATATATAAATATATATATAAAATCGCAGTCAGATTTTTGCGAGTAGATTCACTTACGTCCTTTTCTCTCTATTTTGTAAGTATTTTTTTTCATTTTTAAGTAAAGCGACAAACGGATAAAATGTTGCTTGTGCATCGCCGCTATAAATATATCATAAGAGAAAATGTTACGTTGAGTTTATCTATAATCCTTGCGCCATGCTGAGTTCGATAATCGGCTAAATCAGCCGAAGGATGCATATATATATATATATATATATATACATATATAGAAATATTCGTGTGGACAGAAAAGTAGGGGCGAGGTGTATTTTTTAGTTCTCTGCTATATAATTGTAAAAGATAGCTTCCACAAAGATGTGGCCCAAATGTTCACAACTAATTTCCAGAATCCCACGTGGACTTCTGGTTTCTTGCTGTAAAAAGTTGATGGCTTTTATCTTGCGTTAGTAGGTCTTTTAGGAGTATTTTGCTACAAATGCAATATGAACTAATTTTAATAATAATGTTAGATAGATCGAGCCAAGAAGGACAATGACTAGGTCATCAGTTTCGAAATCAAGAAAAACTGTAAAAACTTATTGCCGTATCACTAGGCCGATCGCACATAACTTTGTCACGAGTGCTTTAAAACTTCTACTGTTTCGCGTTATAATTTTAGCTAAACGAAATCCCTTCTAGCTGTCTGAATGGAAATAAAGTCGGTTTCCAATGGAATTAAAGTCGGATGATGTATTATTTTTTTATTAGGCGCCAATGGCGCCGGAGAGAATAAATCGGAAAGTTCTCTAGCTCCGAAAAGTCAATTTGGAAAAGAGAAAAGACTTTGCTTCGGTGCAAGCCAGAAGTCGAAGACTAATGGAGAAGCCTTTGGAACGACGAAACAAAAGTACATTTGTTTGGAAATGATGCGGGAAGAAGCAAAATGTTTCCGAATTCGATTTTTTAAAAAAACATTGAAGCAAGCCGGGGAAAACTTTATGATACGCGTCTACATTCCAGAGAGTACTATGAACAGATTTGTATATTCAAAAGTTATTACTCCTTGTCAAAGAAAGCTGGTATCGAAATTTCAACAGGATGCTAATCCGAAATATTCATGTCGTCTATTAAAAGGGTAGTCGTGGTGGTGGACCACAACCTGGACATCATTGAATGGTCAAAGTCATTCCCTTGGCCTCAATCTTGTTGAGAAGGTTTGAGGAGGATTAAAACGTCAAGCCATAATGCAATAAAAAGAAATTATGGGAAATATTTGAAAATTATGGTGGTAGAGAG